GGACTGGGAATATCCCGCCAATCCACCAGCCACTTAAAACACACTAATTGGACACTGGTGTTGTCCGTATCCATTGGCCTCCCTGTCTGTATGTTTAATAGTGAAACTGAGATGGCCAGTCTGTGTACAGGAAGCAAGCAGAAACCATTTTTTTTTTTTTTGTTTTTTTAAATTAAATTATTGAAATTATAACATTTGTTGTGGATATGTTTTTTCTTCATGTCAGCTACAGTCTATGCAGCGTAGAAAGGTAGGATAACCCCACCCACATTTTTGCTTGGGTGTTAGTGTATGAAGTGGTGTTATGTATAGAGTTGTATAGTAATAATCTATTCCTTCCTACCCAACATTTGATTAGCTATTTCATGTTTCGGTATTGATCAATTTTTATTTTTAAATTTCTGCGCTACCTGGAGTCTGCTTGATCTTTTAGATCTTTTAAATCTCCAGTGATTGATCTAAGGCTCGATGATACTCACTAGTACACTACACAAAAGCAAACCTAACCTCTTTTCAAACAAGGTTGTTGTGTTTCTTCAAGCTGGTCTTAAAGATGTGTCATCATCTCAATACTCTCACACTAGAGAGCTTTATGACGTATTTAAGTTATGGAACAGCACTTAGGCATGTTAAGCTTAAACAATCTAAATAGTAGATTGACGTAGCAAAGAGCTCAATAGAATTATACACATCTGAAGTTCTTAACGGCCTATTATAACATAAAATTAATACATTAGCCATGCTATAATACAGTCATTGTTCTGGCTGATTGTACAACACGTTAGTCTCTGTGGACACATCCCTGTGACTGATGGAAGGATTAATTGTCAAGAGATGAGGATTGAAATTGACAAGCATTAAGAGACCTTCAGTACTCACAGTGGCAAACACACTGCGCCGCACACCACACACACACACACAACACACACACACACCTTGAGCCAGTAATCGCAGAACTGTGAAAAACACAAGAGCAACAGCGTAGACGTGATTAAACCTCTTTTTTCGTTTATCCAATTTGTCATGGCACAACACACACGCATGCACTTCCATCCACAAACCAAGTCAATTAACACATTATATGTGTATATATACACACACACAAACATTGCACCAAGCTGGAGCTGGTTTGTTATGATAGTCATTAGCATGAGTGACAGGAAGGTTAAGAGGGTGAGCAGTTACACTAAGTCTCCTGAAGTGTGACCAAAAAATCTTCTGAGGTTTTATGGTATCATACTTTAGGCTTCATCAACAAAAGGCCAGATTCGAAAGGCTGACCTTTCGCACTGTTGCATCTTTTTCACTATGATTGCAGTAATGATGGATTGGACAAGCCACTTAGGCAGACAGGATGGGAGCAGAACCTTTCATAGACAATGAATGTTTGTGGCATAATTTTCCGTCCTCCTGCTGTACCTCTTTCCCAAAGGGCTTAGCAGATTTCAGCTCCTGCTTTTTCAGCCCTGCTGCCTCTAATATGGCCCAGTGATGGCTGGGTAAAGCACTGCCAGAGGCTAGGGGGAATGTATGTACCAGTATGAAGTGTGGTTTTCAGTCAAGTTGTCAGTCAGACTGACGGTGTCATTGTGGTCGGCTGACAGCCAGCTGGAGGGCTACAGCACTTCAATTAGGAAGGAACATCAGCTCACTGGCCATTACAGCCACAGTCCTCTCCTGTTCACTGAGATGGAGGATAACAGAAGCATATATACACCCAGGGCATCCGCAAAACTCTCCCTGGCAGCTGACATGCAGGACAAGTCGTCCCATACAGACCGTTAATTCAAATGCCCCTCACTGGTATGCCCATACTGGGAAAATAATCCACTGCTAGGTAAGAGTCCTTTTATTCAAACCTAAAGCCGCCTGGAATCCACTTATTGAAACCATTATTATTATTACTAATGATTGTATTGCTATTATTATTATTAATTATTATTATTATTATTATTTATTATTATTATTATTAATTTTATTATAGTTGTTGTTATTGTTACTAACTATTGCTGCGGTACATCTCCCACGCCCACGCCTCTCTACACCCTCTCTCTCTCTCTCTCTAATCCCAACCAGTCGAAGGCAGACGGCCGCCCACCTAGAGCGGGGTCTGTCCGAGGTTTCTGCCTCTAAAAAAAGATTGTTTTTTCCTTGCCGCGTCCCAGTGCTTGCTCTTGGTAGGAACCTGTTGGGTCTCTGTAAATATTTCATAATTTCATTTTAGATAAGGCGTACAGTCTATACCTGCTCTTATATAAAAAAGTGTCCTGAGATACTATAGATATGAGGTGCTTTATAAATAAAAACTGAACTGAACTTACATTTGGGTTCAGCTTTCAACATTTGTAAGAAATTTTATAAACTAAAAAACTTAAGTATCAGTTGGAAAATTTGTTTGGTTTGAGAGAGCTATCTTCTCATCTTTTTCAACCCCCCCACTTAGTTCTGTTAGTAAGTTAGTAAATTAAAATCACCCTTAAAATCAGTATAGGAAAAACCAACGTCTGATCATTCCTCCTATCGTCAATATAAATCAGATTTCACCATATCAACACCATATATGTACTGTACAGTTCTCAAGCTGATGGTGGGAAACCAAAGTTGATGTATAAGGGGCATGAGAGATTCACAATGGATGCCTTAATAATATTCACAGCCTTGGGAACTGTACAGAAAAACTAAAAAGCATCATCATCATGCATCATCATCATCATCACTCGACACAAAAGGCAGTGGCAACTCCCAGCCCAAAGTTTGGTATGGCCCCATGTTGGTACTTAGGTGAGCAGAAATAGGCCTATATGCGGATTACTCTGGGTGTTAGGTGGTCAAATATTGACCATTTTAACTAACCAAAATGGCCCCACTTATTATTTCACGCTCTAACCCTTGCTCTCATTTCCTAACTAGAAACCACATAGGGAGCCCACATGGTCTACGATATGGACTACTATAGATGCACACAAAGTGGCCCCCACATAAGTTGCCCCTTTTTTATTTTGCCATAACTTGGTAATCCAAGTATACATATTACATAACATATACATGTTGCTGGACTACCCATGGCTGGGCTGTGTGCGTTGATGGAGCAACATCAATTTTTCCCAAAGGCTGTCTGGAACCTTTCCAGACAAAAGAAAACCTGAAAGACCAAAAATGACTTGAACTGAACTGTGGAAAGAGCTATCAGAGATGTGTACATCTATTTGGAGTTATGGCTCTAACATTACGAACAGGAACGATGAAACTCATGGAAAATCTTGCAGTACAGATCATTCAGTAAGGCTATTAATAATACATTATCTTTGATGAAATACTGATTGCAGAAAGCATATAACATTAATATTCTGTCAAGATAATTTTGGCCTTTGTGAAATTAAATCCAATTTCTTGCCAAGATTGAGAATGATTAAGATCGTATCCCACTCTCCATTATCGGTACACTTGGCTCAGCATAAAGACACGGCTAGCTGGCTTCTGATCCAAATATTAAAAATTAATCCTACCAACACCTCTAAATTTGACTAATTAACACGTTTTTGTCGTTGTTTAATCCAACACAGACATATACATAAAAACACTGTGTTTTTATGCCAGTAAGCTGCTCAATGTATTTCCTTGGCTGGGAACTATTCCTTGACTTCCTGGAGTCACAGTGGTTGCTTGGCAACCGTGACTTCAAGATTCCAACAATTTTCTCTTTTTCTTTTGGTCTTCTTCTTTCCTCTTTCCTCTTTCTCCTAACTTCAGATTGGAGCACTTCTTGATGCGCAGAAATATTGTTCATGAACATGCACTGTGTGAAGCGTTTCCACATAGCTCCACTATGTTGTATATTTGTCACAGCTGTAATAAATACAACATTTTCTAAACACAGTATGTCAAGCAGAGTCAATAAAAACATATTTTGATTTGACCAACCCGTCCTGACTTCAGAAATGTCTTGAACTGTCAGTCTTCAAAACACAACGTAATCCAATCCTAGCGTACAAACACAGACAAAGTACACAATGGCTCCTACCATCATCTATTCAGAGCGTAACAGCTTCTCTTTCAAGCAGAGCCATGGTTCGTTGGGGTCTCCACCTCTTCCGTACATTATATTGTTCTCTCTGTGATCCCTCGGGTAGCTAGTCATCTGAATGTCACACACACAAAAATGAAGAAAACTCCCAGACCTCACAAATGACCTCAAAGACACGCCTAGATTTTAAAATATACTCTGAAATTGAAGGATATATCAAGGTCACAAAATAGACTATTACACTATAAACAATTCACTACATTTTCAATTCCATGTCCTTTAGTGCACCCTTGAAAAACACAGAAGCAAGATCAAAACCACACTTTTGTAGATTCTAATCAGTGTGGTTTTATCACATGTAAACATATATAAAACATTTGTTTTTTTTGGACAAACCTTTGGTTATTAGTATTCTGCATGTAAGTGAGAGTTTAATGTTGATTCAACAGCATGGTTGGTTGTCTTCTGTCATGTACATTTTGTCATACTGTAGTTGGGTGTACTCTGGTTATGTATAGAATTGTTTGTGAACATAGTATGTTTTTGTATACTTTGGAAGAAATTAACTCTAGAGTATTTAAAGATCCCCTACAGACATGTATAAGACATATATACAATATCTGCTTGAACAATAATTTTTATAATTTCCAACATTAAAATCCTTAAAATCCTTCTACCTCATATATAAATTC